GCCCCTCGGCGCCTCCGCACCGCACCCTGCGCCCTAGGACTTTCTCCCTGCGCCAAAGCATCGCCCCCGAGCCCCAAGACGCCTGACGCCCGCGCCTGAAACGTTTGGATCCCGCGAAGCGCAGTCGGACAGGCTCCACTACCCCCTAAAATGATGCAAAACAAGAACGAAACATTGGTAGTAAATCTTATGAACTCCGGATATCTTAATTAATCATGATAAATCCTCTTCCACAAGATCATGAACTATTTTGGGAGAAAACCGTGTCCTGACGAATTCATAATAAATTAATGTTTACTTCGTATTTCTTGAAGACGAGGGCGATCTCAAATCATCTTCTCCTCAAGAGTCATCAATTTCTGTTTCTTTGTCCTGCTGATGACAAAATATTCTCCGAGTTCTTCAATATCCATCTATTTACTTGTTATGAAATCTCCTAATGACTCAATGGGGCCTTTATTGAGCCCCGAATATTCGTACTCAATAATATAAGTAATTTTCGATGTATAATTTTAGGTCATGTTAACACAATATAATATTTATTATGCTATTGAGAAATATTTGTGATAATGTGATAATGTAAAGTGTCACAATTGTGAAATTTGAATGCAAAATGCGACATTCGTTCTAAACACAAATATATTTTAATTTTTGAAAAACCAAAAGAATTTAAGAACGTGGCATTTGTGTCATGTTATATCGGTGTATGTAGTTCCATCTATAGAAAAAGTGTAAAGAAAAATTAGAAGACATTTTTAGAACATTTTTTAATATTGTACTTGAATATATCTCGTATTTCACTCAAAGTTGCGCGAAAAGAACTACAACTTACAAATTAATGAACGTGGCATTAATTAGAGAAGCAATTGCGAGGAATAAATTATATTTTAAGACAAAAATCCATCACCAATACTGTAGTTCTAGGAAGACGCCGAAAACTTCAAATATTGCATAGTATGAAAAGTAAAAATAAACAAGAGTGAAAATTGGAATCCCTGCCAACTTTACAAGTACAGTTCACTCTATTCTACAAGAAATTTAAAGACAAATTTTGAACCAATTTTGAGAAAATTTTGAAAATGTCTCAGGGACTTCATATAAATTACCCGCAATTTTTAAATAATGCTCTTCAAAATTAGAGAGCTTTGAGTCAATTCAGATGGCACGTGGAATAAACATTTTGGATGCAATCCTGCAAATAGTTAAGGCAATAGTGTTGTTCACAGACAAATACAGACGACCGACAGAAGAAAAGAACGTTTTAAAAAAATACTTTCGGTACCAGTGAACCCCAAAACATTTATTTCAGTTAAATGTTTGAAATTTATTAATTATGAAAGTTTATACTTCGTATATACGAACGTATACCAAAAGACACGTCACTTTTTAATGCAAATATGTTAGAATCAGATTTCCCCTATTTTTTTCTCCCATTGATTAGCATGTGGTAATTAATAAGTTCTCAACACAACAACTATTTGTCAATGCAAAATGAAACAAAACAATTTTTATTTGCAGTTCGTCTCACTGATTTTGTTTCAGAAGTGAAGGATCTGATCAGCAGCAATTCTTCTGCAAACTTCCATCCTCCTGGTGTAACTTCAAATAAAATGCAAAATGAAATATTACAAGATCAGACACGTAAGTATACGTTTAACATCCAGTAACGAAATACATCACATTAGCTCATTTTGTGTCTCTGCCATCGAGTTCTTATAAATAGCATTTGTACATCTTATGTCACATATACGGTAATAATTTCAAGCTGTTGCATTTTGTGTCTGTTTAATGCATTAGACAGCAACACAGAACACATCTCTCCAATATTGTCTCATAGTTTGTTTGGGGCTTGTTGTAATACATTTCCGACACTGTAAACGTTATAGGTTGGGGTTTGATCCTTTTTCGTTTGGAAAAAGAACCGTTTTTCGAAATTACTTTGAGAACTTACATTTTTGCCGTACAATTGAGTAGCAGCAATGCCAAATCTATTTCATACAAGTATATAAAGATGTTCCATACAAAAGCAGGAAAAACACCGACATCATAATCTACTGATCCAAAAAACATTTTTTGTCTTTACATATTTTTAAGAAACCTGCTCGTTATGAAGACACAGGTAATTATTTATTGGTACCATTCTTCATTATCATTTTAACCGATCTTCATTTCTTTGGTCTTAATTCCTAAATACTTTGAACAACTTTGAATATCGCGCTTGAAGGCCACAAAAGGCTGTCGCAGTGGTTTGTCCTGCAAGGTGCGATTTTACACTGATGGATTTCTTCTCTGAACCTACTGGACCTACTGAAAATGAGTCTTCCAAAGCCCGGTGTTTAATATAAATGATACACGTGTTTACTCTGCTGAGACTTTGTGCTACTACGCGTTCAGAAAATGGTTCTTACTCGCTTACATAAGTGCAGGTATATATGGAGGTCATATAAATATTTTAGAACTTACGTTTTCCGAGTTGTGTGAGTCAATCAGATTACTGAAGAAGTCAACAATTTCCGCATGGTTGATGCGAGTACTAGGCTTTCCTATTAGCGAGTACTATTTTTCACATAAAAATATCCACTGTCTTGTCTGTACTAGACCCTTAATGCTGGCATACTGTAATCGTGTAATTTGCATTTTTATGTTATTATTTGGGTTTATTTTCGCTAATTATTAGTTTTATCACCAAACTCACAGAGTGAAGAGATTTACTGAATATTACTTTGTTTTTACATTTTCAAGACCACATAAAGATAATTCAAGTTTAAATACTTCTAAACTAAAGCTATGATACATTATTTTGAGTTTTTAGGCCGTTTATGCGTCACATAAAGAAAGAGAAGGCAGAAATAAAAGTTATCTCAGTAACAGAAAAAAATAATTCATTCCTTACAATTCTCGTTATTCAAAATGTTAATTTTAATTTATTCTCACATCCTCTAATAATACTTAGCAGAGAGAGCAACACGAACACTCTTTTTTCCTGAAGGTCTAAGAGTGCGAAACTGTTTTGGATATTTCTAATTGACAGATTGAAGCGAGAATACATTTTAAAACGACCTTTGCCATTTCATCTCTCTGTAAAAGTTTGATCCGTATTCACCAGCATAAATAGAGATTTCGTCTGTCAGTCAAATGTGTTTGTTACCCAGTTACGAGCAAACGCGATTGATTTATTGGCTAAACCTTTAAGGACTGATACTGCGTTGAAGAGGTATTATATATTTTGGATGTGCTCTGCTTTTAGGACTACAGGTTTGGTTATTAAAGTTTTAAAATTGTGTATGGCCTTTCAATGCCCTTTTGTTTTGTCGTCATTTAATCCGATGATGCGTGTTCCAGATATTTTTTCCTTCCCTTTGTATTTGATGGCTGGTTTTGAATGTTGGGCTTTGATAGTTGGTTTTGAATGTAGTAGTTTTAGATCTGTGGAATATTTAATGTTTTTGGGGCCAAGAGAGCGTCATACTATCTATGGTTAAATACAATTTCAAATCTATTTTTAATAACAAATAAATACCCGTTTATTTGTTGAATTTCTTAGTTGAATTGTTGATTTACTCGTGACTGGCTTGCACCTGCGGTGTCGTGAGAGGGGAAGTGTTGAAAATGTCTTAGAGGCTGATTAAATTTTAATGTAATGTAGTTAGGAGTGGGTTTCCTGAATTATTTATTTAGTTGTGATGTCTTTGGCTTGCAATATTGTGTTGTTAGATAGTGTATTATTGAGAATTAATTAACAATCTTGTTAGATTGTGAATGTAACAAACCCGAGTTTCAGTCACTTGGACTTACGCTGTGCTCAGTAGTCAGAAAGGTGCAACGCTTTCTCTTCGTGAACGATTCCAGGAAAGCGAGCGCAGTCGAAGAGGCGGCCTCCTTCGTGCAGCGGCAAGGGCAGCGATTGTGCTCTTCTCTGGTGCAACTTATGGGCCTCTCATCCACTTCGGTATATATTATCCAATTTATTCTTACTCCGTTTAATCAGAAATAAATTGGGAATCTTGGAAAGATTGGGAATTTATAATTCTTTTGTTTGAAGCGAAAATCACTTGAACACACTAGTATTTTTTTAGAAAAAATTGGATGCAACAATCAGTTACTGCCGTTGTCGGTGTCATCAGTAGACTTTGAGTTGTAGGCACAAGAAAGTGACGATTTAGAAACCTAACTTAAGTAACAAAATTATGAAATTAGGCACTATTAGGCATACAAAGTGACTTTTTAGGCACTTATAATAGGTTTACACTTTTAGGACATTTTAGGCTCTATTAGATACTTTCGATAGATCTATTTTTTTTATGATTAGTAAACATGTCCACCTCTTTTCCACAATCTCCAAAGTAAACTAAATAGGCATTTGTCCTAAAATCTGAGGTCTAGTTCCCTTGGCCATCGCCATCAGCGGCGTCATCCGCCCCCGCGTAGCGATCGCCGCGCCAGCGTAGCCCGCCCGGGCAGGGGCAGCTTTCGTAAATCCCCTTCAGTCGCCGCCGCCAAGAGTCAGGCGCTGCGGCACCCGCTCTGCGGTTTATTCCGTCTCGGTACATTTATCTTCTCCCTCCCGGCCTTATTCTTCAGCGGCGCTGCCTCCCCTCGCGCGCAGCACCTCTGCCGCCCCCCCCCGCCCCCCCGCCCCTCCCCGCCCCCGGGCCCGCACTCCCCCGTGCGCAACGAGGCACATCCGTCTTTCCGTCCCTGTTTCTGATATTCCGCTTCGCATCTCTCCCACCTCCCCTTCCCTGCGACTTTCTCTTCTCTCCCTGCCTCCCTTTCTCTCTCTCTCTCTCTCTCTCTCTCTCTCTCTCTCTCTCTCTCTCTCTCTCTCTCTCTCGTCGCTCGCGCTCCACCCGCCACTGGGTGCTTCACGTTTTCCCATTCCAGTTCTTCGCTGATGTAACATTTTTCTACCGCCGTTGCGTCTAACTTCCAGCAGGGCGGTGCCTCACGTCCCCTTTACCGCTCCCGGCGGGGGTGAGCGGCGGGGCGGCGGTCCCTCGCTCTCGCGCCCCCTCCTCCCTTCCTTTTCGCCCTCCCGCAGCCGAGCCGCGCCGCTCTCTCCCGCCTGCCGCCCCGCACGCGTCATCCAACAACAGAACAATTCACCGTTTCAACATTGAAACTGTCCACAAGCAAGGCTCGTTAAGACGATGGACAGTCAGCAGCATTCACAGAGTCGCTGGTCCCCTCGCCCTCGGCGTGTCCCCCCCTCCCGCCACCCCTGGGCGGCGGCCACCGCCGGCACCGCTGAGCTCACACCCTCGCTTCGCAACTAGCCGCCTCCGCCGCCACCGCCCACCGCCGTCCGTTAGTTCGTCAGCACGCCCGTCTGTACATTCCCAATTACCTGTTTGTCAATGTTTAACCGACTGGGCTACTCTCCCGAGCCACCTATATATATGGCGGCAGGGGCGCGAGAGGGGCGACGGGATGTGTGTGTGTGTGAGGGCGCCTGTGGATGTGTTATGCATGCTCCTCTCCCCTAAACATAGTCTTGTTACTCCCTGCTCGTCTCGAAAACCAGTTACTCGTACTTCAGCAAATTCCACCCCCGCACTAATTCTCCGTATTCCTTCCCCTTTCCCATTCGTCAATTCTGTATTACCGTCAATTCTCCTGCGTGTTCTTCGTATTAAATCAACTCGTGTTTAACTTCGTTTCCCTTTATATTTTCACAAATGAAATTAAAAAAGAAATTTCAAGTGGATACTCTAAACATATGACAAACTATTTTGTTCGAAATACTACAACTAACGTTAAATTACGTTCTTAAAATGTCTCTTATATACAATCACAATTTTACATTGTATGTACAAGAAACTGCTTATCTTTAAAATAAAGCAAATACTTTTAGAAAGCTACCCAGTTTATAATTTTAGAAAGATACCCAAATTATGTAGTTTATATCTTGTTTTACTGATAAATTACTGTACAATGTATATCACAACTTCACTGCTATCGTGAAAATATCCATTAGTGTTTGGTTTCAATTTTTTTTATATTTACTCAATAGGTTGCACATAATAGCGTGTGACTTTGAATGTAAAAATATGCTCTGACTAGAAATTATCACAAAATTTGTTGTATATTAAACGACCTCTAGTCATTTTCGCCATCACTTTGTCTTTTCAAGTCAATGTTTAATACAAGGCAGTGGTTTTATGCAGAGGTGGCTTTTCAAGGTTGGAAAAAGAATCTTTCTGCTCTGCAATTTTTTACCTCGTCGTTTATTCTTATTAAGGAGACTGTCCCGTGTGAACGATTCAAAGGTCACGTGTATCTCTTCCCGCTATCACGAGAATTGCGAGGACGCTAGCACAGTGAGTGAGTCTCTCTCTCTCTCTCTCTCTCTCTCTCTCTCTCTCTCTCTCTCTCTCTCTCTCGGTCCCTGTATGCCCTCGGCCGCACGGTTTCCACAGCTGACGTCACAATCTCTGACCCAAAGGACTGCGTTCGTGGGGACGCAGAGACCTGTGCAATAATCGTCTCCGAACACAGCAGGCCGGAGATCAGTATCGCGCGACATTTGTTAACAGTGACTTCTACAAAGTGTACCTGAGTGAGAAAAGGAAGCGAACTTTTGAGCTGGAAAAAATAGCGTGAATGGTTTTGTTTAATATATTGTGGTTGTGAATACTAGA